CTGCTGTCGCGGCTGGGCGGCCGCTTGTACTGGTCGAAGCGGTCGCTCATGGACTGCTGGTAGCTGAAGGCAGGCGATTCCGTCGCCTTGACGCGCGAGTTGCGGCGCAGGCTGGCCGAGCGCGCGGGCGCCGACAGCCCCTGCTGCTGCAGCTGTTGCTGCTGTTGCTGCTGCTGCTGGGCGTCCGCGTGGGTGTAGCCCTCGTCCACCGCGGGTGTCGGGGGCTCAACCGTGGGCGTGGGCGGCGGCGGCAGCTGCTGTTGCTGTTGTTGTTGTTGCTGCTGCTGCTGCGAGGACTGCGGCGCGGGCGGCAGGGAGTTGGCGGAAGGCACGGCGTTGGGCAGGCGCCCGACCTCGCCCGGCCCCACTTTGTTCATGTAGGGCTTCGACGCAGGCTCCTCGTCCGAGGTCGTCACGATGGCCGGCGACGCGTTCTGCTGCCGGTACTGCTGCTGATACTGCTGCTGGTACTGTTGCTGGTACTGTTGCTGGTACTGCTGCTGGCCGGGCGGTTCGGCCGAGGAGATGTTCGGCCGCTCCGCAGGCAGCATGGGCGGCGGGGGCTGGTATTTGGGGCGGGCGCGCATTTTCTCCAGTCCTGTCAACAGGCCTTTCGCATTAGCAAACTGGCAGTAAGACTTTATTACAATTGCTCACATGCAAGAAACTCGCAACTACAAAAAAAGAGGTATAATCTATAATAAGATTTATCTTGATTATTATCTTCAGAAAGTCAAATTTTCAAAAATATTTGAAAATTTATGCGACAACAACTGTACAAAACTTAGCAATTATGTTTTATTTCTAGTTTTCCGATATAAATTCGGAATAGAGATGCGTTAATGTAAGATTAAAATTACGTCTGGAGTACGACTATCGGTTTCATGATAAAAGAGAGCCGTGGTAACAATCATAATGGAAAATTATGGCCACTTTTTCTCACGCACGGCCTTAACGAGCACCGGTCGTAAAAATGCCATAAACCAACATTCGTCTTGCATCCATAAATCAAATATCGTTTTTAACAGAGGTCGAAAATTGGTAAATTTCTGAAGGTAATATAGGGGAATCAGTCAAAGAAAATGACTCATAAGACATGACTTATTTATACTTATTATTATTACTATTATTATTATTATTATTTCTATTATTATTTCTATTGTTATTTCTATTATTATTTCTATTATTATTTCTATTATTATTACTATTATTATGCTAATGGGAAAAAGATCACTCTATATATTACATATTTTTTGTAAATCGAAAAACATGAATTGTATTCTTCACTATTAAATTAATTCTTACTTTCCATTGTTTACGTCTTGTGAGATGCATTCATACATTAAAAAATTAATTCGAAACATTTTTACAAAACGATGTACAATTTTGAATACATATTCTGGGTAAAGAAATGTATATTTTGTTTTTCATTTAGTCGAAACAAGTGAAGAACTGATTCAATAATAAATGTTAAATATAATAATTTGGTTAAATATAATTTTTGTTTCTACTGACCGTTTATTAATTATCTTTCTACCTTGAAGGGTATTTGCCTGGGCGGTTAAAACCGCACGAGAGAGACGTGGGTTGTTGCAAAGTTGAAAACCCAACGGCCATATCATACTTACGGTATGTAAAAGATCCTGGATCCCTCATTCGCTTAGCCCCCAGCAGGGAGGAGAAGGAATAGGTTCTCGTCTAGTCCTCAGAGAAGATTGGAAACTCAACCTACTTTCCCAGTTCTCGGAGGCACTTACGTAGTTAGAGACAAAGGAAGTGCGGAGGAGGCTCCGTCGGAATCCTTATTGCTAGTGGTCCCCGTCTGAAGGTAAATTTAGTAGTTCCGCCCCTGGAGTGATTATAACATCTTCCCTCCCACAAGTGGGGGACTTTCCCACCCCCAATCTAAGAGTAGGAGCTTCAATGAAGGTGGGAAGCGTGTTTGGGAAGGCTTGTGTCTGTTGTGTTGAGGCACTAATCCAGATGACCGTCTGAGGAGCAGCAGTTCTGACGGAGGTGAGAATAAGAAATGCTTGGTCCACCTCTGAGGCTTAAAAACCCTCAGATACTTTGAGCACAGCATATTAGAAGGCATTAAGAGTAGCTCTGAGAACAGCACTACATCGACTTCCTCAGCAGGACCTCCCAAACAGTGAACAAATGCCGTCCTTTATTATGCCTTCAAAAGTACCTTCCTTGATTATGTCTACAAAAAGTTATATTTAATATTTGAAATTTGCATGCAAATTATTTCGCGTCGCATATGTCGCAATGCGAGAGTGGATATTTTTCGGGGTTGGGGTGGAAATGTCCGCTACATCGGGCCACGCATTGCAAGAGGGGTGAGGATGCGGCCCTGACGCCAGACGACAAAGGAAGGGACCGGACCTGTCGAAGCAGCAAAGTCGTGCCACCGCTGTCAACCTCACCTTCTTCCTCCACCACTTGACACAAGGCTGCTGCAAAACGTGTCTCGGGATAGGGCAGAATATTTGGAAAGCAGCAATGAAGTAAATTCTCCTCAAAAACAAAAATTTCCGACCGAACGCCGATAGCATCGAACTTTCATAAACATCAATTATTAATGTGTGCATATTTTTTCTGTATAATTAACGGTTATCTGTATAAGAGACTTGGCTATTGGAACTTCCTGTCCGCGAATGTGGGGCTATGTGAAGAGGGAGTTCTTCCGATGCCAAGACAAAAAGTACAACAATACAAACCCTGCCAAGAGCAAGACAGAAGATTCTCTGCCAAGTGCCTCTGCGACATTAACAAAAAAGCTCTATAATCTATGAAACACTCTCCATTCCCACTCTCGACTAGAACTCGGCTTTTCCGCTCATTCATTCAATCATTCGCTTTTCCGTTCATTCATCCAATCATTCGCTTTTCCGTTCATTCATTCAATCATTCGCTTTTCAATTCATTCATTCAATCATTCGCTTTTCAATTCATTCATTCAATCACTCGCTTTTCCATTCATTCATTCAATCATTCGCTTTTCCATTCATTCATTCAATCATTCGCTTTTCCATTCATTCATTCAATCATCCCCTTTACATTCATTCAATCAATCATTCGCTTTTCCATTCATTCAATCATTCATTCGCTTTTCCATTCATTCAATCAATCATTCGCTTTTCCATTCATTCAATCAATCATTCGCTTTTCCATTCATTCAATCATTCGCTTTTCCATTCATTCAATCACTCATTCGCTTTTCCATTCATTCAATCACTCATTAGCTTTTCCATTCATTCAATCATTCGCTTTCCATTCATTCAATCATTCGCTTTTTCACTCACTCTTTCATCCATTCATTCCTTGTTTTTAGTTAACTTCCATTTATTGATATAGCTGGCTTTATTAGCTCTATTTGAACTGTCGTGGAAGCACTGCTTACCCGGCTGGTGGAAGTCGGGAGCGAACTGTCGCGCCGTGTCCCGCGCGATGTCCGAGTCCTCGCGCGCGTGGTCCGCCGCCATGTCGGCCAGCTCCGCCTTGCCACGCGCCGTCGCCGTCCTGCAACACGCGCGCTGCGTCAGCCCTCTGGCGGGAGGGACCCCGCGGCACGCCACTCCCGAACTTGCCGAGATGTACAGTGCGACATTGCTTACAACTTGATCGAAAGGAGAAGACAATTCAGAATATATTCTATTACAAAACCATTTTGCAGTAATGCTGTTCATAAATAATCTCTAAAATCTAAATTACATTTATTCGACGTCTGAAGGATCATCAATATGTTCTTATTCTATTATAAAAGTTCATTTACGTGAGTTCTAATACAATGAACAAGAAGCGAGATTGGATGCTTTTGAATGTTCTGGTTCGTATCATGCTCTAGCCATTTCTTATTTTGTAGGCTCCAGATACTTTTGTTTTAAAGGTAATATCAATCGTTTGCTGTTATAAAAATGAAGTCAAAAAATGTAAGTAAAATATAACCTAGTTCGTGATTACAAAAATCTAAATGTATGCATAATTTTTACTTAAAAAAATAGTTTCTTTTATATTTTTTGGAAATGTTTAACGACAGGATCACAAAAATAACATAAGTTACTCTTATATTTCAAAGTGAGCAACAATGGTATGGGTACTTGAATCCGATACAGTTGTTTAATTTTCACAAAAATAGACGTAAAGACAAGATAGCACAGAAATAAGATCACAATAATTCAACAGTTGGAAAAATGCAGTTGAAAAGTAAGTTTTATGATCCAGTTTTTTATGTAGTTTTAATTAGAAGAAAAATAATATATTACTTGTATTAAAACTATGAAAAACACGAATGGAAACTATGACATTATTATTTACCTGAAGTTTTACGCAAAAACGATGCTCATTTTTTCTTTTCGGGAGAAATAGTATTCCATCAATTTACTTAACAAGTTAAATGCGATTGGTATGTTGCTGCTATTCAGAAAATACATGGAATTTTATTTATTTAGAACACACATCAAATTCCACCAACTATACCGTTCCTATCTAAGAGAAGGTTTGGTCGTGGAATGCCTTCCTCGAAATTTGTGTTTTAAATCGGACCGTATTTTTCATTGTACATTGACGGATATGTCCACCAAAGAAGAATAAATCAGCTGTGTCTACGTAGAGTGATCACTGGCATCACGACCTAGGCAGCTATGACACAAAAGTAATGTATTACATTCCGCATTTCTCAAAATGTAACCAATGAATATTCCGATATGACGTGCGTTATTGGTAATTTTAAACTTTCCCAGAGAAGGTAGAATAACAGAACCATGAATAAAACTTGAAAACATTCTACTAATTTATTACAACGTGAAAAGTAAGACCTAGTCAAAAAATAAAAATTGGGATAACCTATTTCTCATTTGTTGTCTCTTTCCCACTTTACACTTTTTTGAGTTGCTTCTAATGAATTATCTTATGATTATCGAATACAATATCCTCGAATTCTAGGAATCTCATTTTGAACTGATTTTTATGCCTGTAGTTAAATATTTTATTTTCATTAAATTCCTGTATATAAAAATTGTGAATATGTCTAAAGTTAACTTAATTGCAAGTTCACTTGTGCCGGAAAGCTTAGAAATGCAGCACCGTTTCTGTACTGGATAGTGAAAGTCTGTTTTACAGCATCTGGAGATTTGCTGTATACTATAATTCAAAATAGACGAGCGTGTCTTTACTTGTTTGCAACAATAACAAATTATTTTATTGCTAAAAATAAAACAATTATCTTTGATTTTACCGCTAATAGTCTTTCTAGTTTAAAACGTGCTGACACGTATTGAAATATTCTTTCTATTTGTAAAGTTATTTTGTCTCAGTCTTTGTAGAACTTTTCACGGAACCGGTAAAAGGGGATAAGTAGCAGAACTCGCCTATACATAATCCCAAATCCCAAGTAGAAGTGCCATGAACACAACATATAATCTAGTAATCTCCTTTTTATGATGTAATTTATGTTGTAAAAAATGCCAAAATTAACCTTGAAGACTCCGTCTCTAAAAGTACCTTCCTATTCGGCCCATAAGCTTGGAACCCGTAAAATTCACTTCCCTAGGTCTGCATTAATGTTTCACAGCTATATGAATTGGTTCTGAGTAATAGTCAAGTTATACAACCTCCACGAAATGCATGGATTACAATAGTCATACAAGTTAATTAATACTTTAGATTGCATTTGTTAACTACTTTCCATTGACACTCTTGAAGCTGGTCGAAAGAGCTCTCTGCCAAGACTAGCCGACTCAAAATGGACTTCGAACCTCAGCTTCATCTGAATGTGATCAAATCACGGTCACAGACCGGCAGCTGGGCATTTTGAAAAGAAACCTTGTCCATAGCTAAGCAAGGACTCTGCAATATGGTCGCGCTAGCTGATTGTGCGTACTCATCGTTTCGCAATTATGTCCGCTTTATCGTGCGCTTGGCGTCTAAACGGTCACACGTTCTATTTAATGCATTGATTATCGTGCGGACACGCAAATTCAACGAGTCATTATGGCCAATGATTAATGATCAATCAGATCAAATCAGGTCAAATTGGCTATCACAACGCTGTGATTCAAAAGTTTCTGATTCTTTGTATTGGATGTATAACCTTTGTATGAGTGTTCGATCCCGGCAAGGTTCCAGAAATTTACTTTATACGTTTAACATCGGTACGTTTGTGGCACTATTAAACTCGCAGACTTAGATAAGCGGATTCTCTGCTTTCCTAAGTCACTTCCAGGTAAACGCCTAAGCAGCTCCGCACAATGCGAGCAACGAACCGCGCGCGCTTCATCACCTCCACCCTTAGGGCCCAGAGATTATCTATCTACGTGTAACACCTCCAATTGATTTAATCAACTTTCATGAAAAATCGGGAAAGCAACGACATGCAACGCGGTTCTTAAGACACCAACTATATCACTTGAAAATAATAAATAAAAATAATTATTTTATAATCCAATTGAAAGCGATCAAATCCAATTGAAAGCAATCAAATCCAATTGAAAGCGATCAAATCCAATTGAAAGCGATCAAATCCAATTGAAAGCGATCAAATCCAATTGAATACGATCAAATCCAATTGAATACGATCAAATCCAATTGAATACGATCAAATCCAATTGAATACGGTCAAATCCAATTGAATACGATCAAATCCAATTGAATACGATCAAATCTAATTGCATTTTATTAAATTTTATTAAATCGGATCAGATCAGTCAAATCAAATAGCACCAGGACTTTTCATACCACGTCAGTGCATATCAATCAGATGAGATGTTTCGACATGACCCCACCGCGGAGGCAAGCGAGGGTTACCTGGAGATGGCGATGTCGGCCTTCTGGAGGGCGATCTTGGAGGCGCGCTGCGCCGCGCTGACGGCGGCGTCGATGCGCTCGCGGAACTTGGCCGACCGGATGAGGAAGAGGTGCTTCTTCTTCTGCGAGGTGACGAGCACGTTGTTCTTGTACTTGCCCTCCTCCTTGGTGCCGTCGCGCAGCGTGGTGACGCCGTAGCCGTACTTCTTGTTGGCGAACCACTCGCCCTCGTAGCGCAGCCCGTCGGAGCGCTCGCTGATGCCGAAGCCCGAGCGCTTGTCGTTCTTCCACTCGCCCATGTACGTCTCCGTCACGCTGGCGTCCAGCTGCTCGTCCTGCGCCCCCACACACACACACGTCACACAGCGGCCCCGCGCGCGGCCATTGCGCCACTTGCATTCCTATCGTTATTACCATTATATTATTAGTAATATTATTTAACTAGTCAATCTCTCTCGGGCAAAGTTCTCTTGAGAGTGAAGCATTACTTCAGAATAAACATCAGATCAGGCACTTCTGACGTTATGATTTGAGTGTACTAATATCCTAGGTTCATTTTTTATTGGAAGTTTCCTTCAAGTTATCACTAATAGAATTAGTTTACAATAACAGCTTTGTCACTAAAAGTAATAAATGCTTGAATATTATTTTCACATCCTCAAAAAAGTGTAATTTATTTTAGACTCCCTCTTCTTGCAACTAGTCCTCTTTAAACCCTCTTTATTTTATTTATACAGGATGTCTCGTAGTAAATGGCACGAACTCTTAGAGGTATACAGATATTGAAAATAAACACTTTCTGTCAATCAGGAGCAGATGCTATGCAGATACAATGAAATTCCCTTCTTTGCGTCAGAACGTGACCTGCCGAACACTTTTGCACACTGAGTTGCCTACAACAGGGACAAATATGGGGCATAAAAATCAGGGGCATATAATATAATTGTATATATCCATATTACTCAATGATAACAGGTGTCCACTATGTCCCTGTACTTCGCTTCACCATTACGCAGATGCATTCAATGCCTTTTAATAATTGCTGTACAAGCCATGACGGGAGGCCTCAATTTTTCTTTCATGTATCTATGTTTTACTTGCTACGTACACTGTTGTTGAAATTTTGTTTTGATATATTTTAATATGCCGAAAAACATATTATTTAATTCAAGTTAAATTTCAAAAATAAATTAAACTGATGGCTTGTAATCAACCCCTTCTCTGATCATATTTGATACTATTTTCTAGACTAAAACTCAAGGATGCATTACTCATTTATTTTTAGTCCTCCATTCCAACCTAATGGAATACCGGTGAGTATATCAAAATACTCGCATATGTTATACCTACCCCTTACCGGTGGCAAAGTCGATACACCAACGTACTGTAAAATATTGCCAATTCCAGACTTGGTGGAAGTCAGGGATATTGCTAGGGGGGATGCGGAAGGGACAAGAGGGGTGACATTTTTTCCATGAATCACCATGAGAGGAATGCAACTCGAAAATTCCCAAATACAAAATTTATCCGAAGTGCAGGGAAAATCAATACTAACATAAACCAATGCTATTTTTGGTGGAATTGAAAACTCGTTTGAAAATACAACTTGTAAAACTTACACATTTTATTTCTATTCAATTACACAAAAAAGAGTGGTATATTGTTGCTTCTTCCACTGGTAATATTAAAATTCGTACTCATTACTCTGCTGACAAAGAAATTCAAATTAGTATTTAACCAATTGACCATAGAAACAGCAGCTCGACTCCTGCCATCTAGTAGTTGGAATAGAGATTTCATCACTCGCGAAAGAAGAAAAGTCACTTTTCATACTGTACACTATTTTCACTGTCCAGTAAAAGGTAAGCATCGTAAACGCATGCAAATAATAAAATATATAATTTATGTCAGCACGACAAGTTTTCAAAATACAGTAGATGAAGCTGAAATAAGAGCAGCATTTGTAGATTCTTCGGACATTTCCGTCAGAAAATGAACGGCCATGTCCTTATGACGGTCATGTCCTTAAATATGATTACAATGAAACTATCCTTAATAGACGAGGCAATGTGGTACATCATTAACTTAAATTAATAGTATTTGCTACAATTTTCAAACTTTTTCGATTCCTGTATTGTAATGAGTCTTATCTGCATTCGCGTTTTTATTCTAAGAATAATTAAATGAAGAGTTCGCGAACCATTTTAATGTATCTGCATTCTGTTTTAGACAACTTTTTTTAAGGAACAACAAGGAAGCGAAGAACTTTCGTGCAAGAGAACGGGATGGTCTCCGATCCATTTATATATGTCGCAGTAAATCAAGACTCCCATTACGTACTCGCGTGTGTCACTGGCATTGAAGGAATATTATTTTTCTTCGCTATTCTTGTGATTACTCGTTTTTCTCAGGATCGTGCGGAGCACAACCGTGCTCCGAATGACCGACCCACGCGATGAAATTATAGTTTTGCGCGTCCACTCGTGTGCCACAACGCACGATACACTTCAATCGAAACGCTGATAGAGATCGTTAAGTTTTGCTCAACAAAGCACAGTAAAAAACGGAGAAACGTTTTCGCGGTGGAACGGGCCAGGGCGCGCGGGCGGAGCGCAGCCAAGGATAGCGCGAGCGGCCACCGGGGCGCCGGCGCGGCGCAGGGCGGCGGCAGGCGCGGAGAGAAAGAGAGAGAGATAAAGAGAGAGACCGAGATATAGATTGATTGATTCGTGATGCCAGGCGCGCCAACTGCTAAGGCCATTAGTCACGTAGTTGCAGTGCATGTTAAGGAGGCAACGAACTTCCCTCGAATGTTGAGATACGGCGCGACCTATCTGGCGGATAGCGGGGTTTTCCCAAACCAGGTATCTCCACCAGATGGCTACCGCCTCAATCGGGACAAGCTCAAAATTTTCAACTGGTCTCCTGGCATGTGTGATAGTGTAGTTCATGCCAGTATAAGTGTGTGCATATGTAAGGGGAAAGGAAAAGACAAATTGCGCGTGGCCCGTTGCCAGCTAGTAAAGGAATCGGTTCTGCATTCGTCTGACATTGATCGGATAAATCCAAGGAAAACTAACGACCGCTAGAATCCTCTTCCAAACAGTAACTGAAATCGACCTAGGGATCTAGCTAGTGTCACAAATCCTGTAACCTTTGGGAGTCGAATCTAGGACCTCATCTTCGGGTGTGTGCGTGTATGTGTGCGTGTATGTGTGCGTGTATGTGTTGCGTGTATGTGTGAGTGTATGTGTGCGTTATGTTTGTGCGTGTATGTGTGCGTGTAATGTGTGGCGTGTATGTGGTGCGTGGTAATGTGTGCGTGTATGTGTGCGTGTATGTGTGCGTGTATGTGTGCGTGTATGTGTGCGGTATGTGTGCGTGTATTGGTGTGCGTGTATGTGTGCGGTGTATTGTGTGGCGTGTATTGTTGTGCGTGATGTGTGGCGTGTATGTGTGCGTGTATGTGTGCGTGTATCGTGTGCGTGTAATGTGTGCGGTGTATGTGTGCGTGTATGTGTGGCTGTGTATGTGTGCGTGTATGTGTGCGTGTATGTGTGCGTGTATGTGTCGTGTGGTGCTGTGTATGTGTTGCGTGTATGTGTGCGTGTAATGTGTGCGTGTATGTGGCGTTATGTATGCGTTATGTGTGCGTGTTAGAGAGAGAGAGAGAGAGAGAGAGAGAGAGAGAGAGAGAGAGAGAGTAGGAAGAAATGGGGAGGGATAAAGAACAATCCTCAACGCACAGGATAGAGGTCCTGCGAGCGCATGGGAGCCACGAGAGTTAAACAAGCGAAGGAGGCGAGGAGAGTAGATTTTGGAAATATCCTTATACGATAGATGGTATATTCTCAGAGTAATCGCAGAGCATTAATATAGCATGAGGCGAAATCGGAACACAGAAGCATGAAGAGGTGGTATCTGGAGGATGAGTTTACGGCAGATGTATTTTACAAGACACAGGAATGGAACAATGTCGAATGGTATCTGATTTCGAGCTAAAACACTAGACGCAATGATTCGTTAGAATTAGGGGGCAATGGATTAAGAAGTAACAATCTGTATTGGTGGGAAAGAATCAGGGGTAGAAATAGGGCCTAAAGGGATCGAAAACAGGCGACACACAGGAGTGTTGTGGTGCTGATAGAGGGCGAGAAGGAACTGGAACGGTCGGAGCGAAAGGGTGCTGACAGTCAGCATATTCCGTACAACGCAGGAAGGTTTGCTGCGAGGTGGGGAGATATGGTGCGAGGAGAAAGGACGTCGTAGGTGTGGGTCGAGATGGAAAGGGGGAGACGGGGTTAAATTACAGGGAAATGATAATGAAAGAGTTGGGTGGGAACCATTCAGAACAGAGATTTGGTGCGGGCCTGGATGGCATGAAGAAAGTCGAGGAAGATTTTGGTTGAGTCGGGCCCGGACAGGACGAGAATGGATGGGATGGGACAAGTCAGGGCAGTTGACGAGACTGTAGGGAATGGTAAGAGAGGGAGGGAATTGAAAGTGAAGAGACAAGAAGGAACGGGACGGGACAGGGAGGAGTGAGGCGAGGCGAGGCGAGGCGAGGCGAGGCAAGTCTTCTATCGTGGGAGGTGGCTGTGCTCCTCCCTTACAAGATGGTGAGAATCCGCGCCGACCTACTTTGGGTCTGCGGGGGCTTTACCCCTCCAGATATCCCGCCCCCAGAAGAAATAAGCTTTAGACACCGGCTGTATGATAGTGTACTGCATCTAAATGTATGTGTGTGTGTGTGTGTGTGTGTGTGTGTGTGTGTACGTAAGGGGAGATGATGAAACAAGGAAGAAAGAAAGATCGCGCGCGGTCTGGGGCCCCTTTTGCTAGGGCACTCGCGCGTCATTCGCCCGGTGGGGCTGAAAGGGATCGAACGGGCCGGGAGGGAGGGGAATGGGGATGGGGATGGGGATGGGGATGATTCCGCCCGGACCATTTGGGAGCGGAGCAGATCGGTACCGAACGGGACGTGACGGGATGAAGACGGAAGCAGGCCAGGCGAATGTGAACGAACAGCCTTGACAAAGGCTGAGGAGGCGAGTCGTAACGCGTGGAAATAGTTTGTGTAACAGCGAGGGAGTCGTGGCTAACCAAGGAGGGAAGTGAGGGCTAGAGGAGAGAGACTCTATCTGGCGGATAGCGGGTTTTCCCACCAGTATCTCCCAGCGATGCTACCGCCTCAATCGGACAAGCTTCAAAATTTCAAACTGGTCTCCTTGGCATGTGTGATCGTGTAGTTCATGCCAGTATAAGTGTGTGCATATGTAAGGGGAACAGGAAAGCAAAATTGCGCGTGGCCCGTTGCAGCTAGTAAAGGAATCCGGTTCTGCATTCGTCACCCCATGACATTTATATTTGATCGGATTAAATCCAAGGAAAACTACGACCGCTAGAAATCTCTTCCAAACAGTAACTGAAATCGACCTAGGGATCTAGCTAGTGTCACAAATCCTGTAACCTTTTTGGGAGTCGATGCTAGACCTCATCTTCGGGTGTGTGCGGTAGTGTGCGTGTATGTGTGGCGTGTATGTTGCGTGTATGTGTGCGTGTATGTGTTGCGTGTATGTGTGAGTGTATGTGTGCGTTATGTTTGTGCGTGTATGTGTGCGTGTAATGTGTGGCGTGTATGTGGTGCGTGGTAATGTGTGCGTGTATGTGTGCGTGTATGTGTGCGTGTATGTGTGCGTGTATGTGTGCGTGTATGTGTGCGTGTATGTGTGCGTGTATGTGTGCGTGTATGTTGCGTGTATGTGTGCGTGTATGTGTGCGTGTATGTGTGCGTGTTATGTGTGCGTGTATCGTGTGCGTGTAATGTGGTGCGTCGTATGTGTGCGTGTATGTGTGCGTGTATGTGTGCGTGTCTGTGTGCGTGTATGTGTGCGTGTATGGTTGTGCGTGTATGTGGTGCGTGTATGTGTGCGTGTAATGTGTGCGTGTATGTGGCGTTATGTATGCGTTATGTGTGCGTGTTACGAGAGAGAGAGGGAGGAAGAGAGAGAGAGAAGAGAGAGAGAGAGGAGTAGGAAGAAATGGGGAGGGATAAAGAAACAATGACTCACGCACAGGATAGAGGTGCCTGCGAGCGCATGGAGCACGAGAGTTTACAACAAGCGAAGGAGGCGAGGAGAGTATGATTTTTGGAACATATTCGCTTATACGATAAGATGGTATCTCTCAACGCAGTAATCGCAGAGCACTATATAGCATGCAGGCGAAATCGGAACACAGCAAGCCCGCAAGCAGGTCCAGGTAATCTGCGAGGATGCAGCTTTTACGCGCACCGATGATCCCATTCTTTACAGAACCCGGAATGCAACAATGCTCGAACTGGTATCTCGATCTTGACGCTAAAACACTAGACGCCAATCGATTCCGTTAGAATTCAGGCCACGGGCAATCCGCGACTTAAAGCAAGTCAACCAATCTGTATTCGGTCGGGCAAAGATCCCAGGGGTCAGAATAAGCGGCCTCAAAAGGCGATCGAAAAGCGACACACAGAGCCGCTTGTGGCCTGCCTGATACGAGGAGCGAGAAGGAAACTGGACAACGGTCGGAGCCGAAAGGGCTGCTCCCCGACAGTAACAGCATATTCCGTACACACCGCACAGGACAGGTTTGGCTGCGAGGCTCGGGGATATGGTCGCGAGGGCATCCGAAAGGACGTCGATAGGTGTGGGTCGACAGATGGAAGGAGGCACAGACGGGGTATAAATACAGGCGAAAATGATAATGAACCAGATTGCCGGTGCGGAACCATTCAGACAGAGATATATGGTGGCGGGCCTCGGATGGCCATGAAGAAACGTCCCGCGGAACGATTTTCTCGGTTGAGTCCGGGCCCGGACCAGGACGAGAACTGGATGGGCATCGGGACAACGTCAGCGCCGGCCAGTCTGCGAGACTGCTCAGCGGAATGGTAAGCAGCAGCGAGGGAATGAAAGTGAAGAGACAAAGAAGGTAACGGGACGGGACAGGGAGGAGTGAGGCGAGGCGGGCGCAGGCCGAGGCGAGCGCAAGTCTTCTACTCGTCGGGAGGCTGGCTGTGCTCCTCCCTTACAAGATGGTGACGACATCGCGCCGACCTCACTACCTCTGCGCGTCCTACTGCGGCGGGCCTCTACCCTCCCAGATCATTCCCCGCCCAGAAGCAATCAAGCTTATACGACCACCGAGCTGTATGATAAGTGTAACTAGCATCTAAAATGTAATGTGTTTGTGTGTGGTTGTGTGTGTTGTGTGTGTGGTGTACGTAAGCGGGAGATGATGAAACCACGGAAGAAAAGAAAGACCGCCGCGCGGAATCCTGGCCGCGCCCTTTTGCTAGGGCACTCTGCGCGTCATTACGCACCGGTGGCCGGCTGAAAGGGAATCGAACGGGCCGGGAGGGAAGGCGAACTCGGGGATGGGGATGGGGATGGGGATGATTCCGCCCGGACATTATGGGAGCGGAGCAGACGGCACTCACCGAACGCCGGCACCGATACGGGGATGAAGCAGCGAAGCAGGCCAGGCGAATGTGAACCGCAAACAGCCTCTAGACAAAAGGCTCGAGGCAGGCCGAGCATCGTAACGCCCCGTGGAAAATAGTTTCCGCTGTAAACAGCGAGGGAGTCGTGGACTACCAAGCGAGCGGAAGTGAGGGCTAGAGGGAGGGTGAGAGAGAAAAGGCGCGAGACAACGGAGCAGCAGACGAGAAAGCGGGGAAGAAGGAGAGAAGAGAGAAAGCGCCGAGGAGAAAGGCGAGAAGAGAGAGAAAGGGGGAGACACAGGGACAAGAAGAGAGAGAAGGCGGAGAAAAAGCCGGAGAAGAGAGAGAAAGGGAGAGAAAGGGAGACGAGACGAGGGGGCAGAGAGAACAGGGGGAAAAGGGAAGAAAGAGGGCCGAGAGAAAGAAAGACGAGCGAAGGGCCGAGGGCGTGGGCGAGAGACAAGAAACGGGAAGCGGAGGGAGGGAAATGAGAGGCGAGGGCGAGGGCGAGGCGAGGGCGAGGGCAAGAGCGAGCGGCGCCCAGGCCGTGAAGGTGCCGTCCGCCGGCCCCCGCCACGCGAGGGCGCACACGCTTGCCAGCTATCGGCGCCGTCCACGGTGTCATCGTGTGCGAGGGGGCGGCGGCGGCGCGGTGGC